GTCACCTCGCCATCGCGAGACCGAACCGCCGCCCGCATGGAGTATATCTCATGGGGCTGCTGACAGAACTGCGCGATCACGATAAGGAGTATGAACGCCACGTCGCGCGATGCACGGGAAAACTCACCGGATAGCAGTACTCGGCGAAGCAGCGGCAGAGGTAGAGCTCAAGGCAGCGTCTGAAATACATCGCGAGCTGGCCACCTTCCTCTCGCTGGAAAAGCTGGTGAAGCTCGCTTGAGAACTGCGCGACTGTCGTCATGCTGGGGTAGTGACCCTCGATGACGCACTTTGCTATCTTGGCGGACAATATGGCTACGCGGACAGGGTCCCGGGCCCACGGCTTTAGTCTGACGATAGACTGTGCAAGGACTCTCCGTGACGCCGGGTGGACGGCCGCTAATCCCAGTCGCAGGCTTGGAAGCCAGTCATATCTGATCACAAGAGAGGCGTCCGTGGCCGCAGAAGTCTGCTGTACAGATGGCTGTGGCACCGGTGTCGCAGCCAACGTGTGCATACGAGACGCTCCAGGAACGAAGGGTTCAGCCAGCGGATTGAAGCTCGATGCCGGCAAGAATGAGACAATGTCCGCTGCTGTGTGAGCCTGCTGTGCACGATTGTTTTGCTGCTGCGTCCGGACGCCACGAGAAATGTGGTTTCGGGAGCCTGTGTTTTCCTCCCAGACATTCCAATTGTGCGCGCCAGAGAGAGAGATCGTGTGTGGCGACAGCGTTTCGGCCTCCTGGGTGCTGAACGGGTAACGACACAGACCTTGAGACTCGGGGAGGTTCTTTCTGGCATCCTCGGTGGGCTGCGTGGGCCGCGAGACAAAAGACATGCCTTGGTCTGTCCGAAAGTGCTACCCAAGTAAGAAGGCCAGACGTCGCGATGCGAGGAAGAAATTGAGGATTCATGCTTTATATGTTAGAGCCCGGGAGATCAAAGCAGGTGAACGTGGCATAGCCACAGACATGCGGCAGTGGCATTCCGTTGTTCGAGCAAGAGCTATAGTCAACAGACAAGGTCAGACAAAGAGGTTCTTCCTTTTTCCGGGAGTTCCATATGTTCCCGACAAAGACGCAGTCGACCACAAAGACGCCAAGACACTTTGAGAGCTCCGATGAGACGAGGCTCAATAGCATCCAGACTGCTGCGCGGAAAGACTTGAGATCCAAAGGGGCGCAGGCACCGAAGGCGGGACAGAGACAGTATCAGCCCAAGAGACAAGCCAAGTATATATTAGTACTGAAGCTGAAGCCTGAGGTTCAGATGCACGGACGCGGAGATCGCGAAGTATCGGACCCCTGGCGTCAAGATCGAGGGTGTCGAGTTCGTGAAGCTCCCGATCGTCTCTCGAATGCTCAAGCGCTCGTGCACACACGTCCTCGGTCCTCGGGCTGCGATCGTCGTTCGGTCGCCTGGCCTGTGTCCGGTGTCTTTTGCTGCGTCTCTGCTCTGCATCGCACGGCGCTCGCTGCGTCTCACACTGTCCTGCGTCCCACTGGCGTCCGCTCGCCGATCGCTCGCACGCCCGCATCTGGTATACAGTATGTCGCCTACCATTACATCCTGATCGCTCGTTCCACCGTGGACGCTGCGTCTGTCGATCGCACTCACAGGCATGCCTTGTCAGGGGTTGAAAGACTCGCGCTCTGCAACTGCAGCCGCGCCCTTCACCTCCACTTCTCGTGCATTCCAACGCGCGCAGCCTGCAGCTTACGGCCCACGCACGTCCGCATCCGCGCATCCCCACGCCGCGCCACTGCCGCTTGCTGGCACACACGCCGCCATGCATCCTCCTTCCCCGCACCGCGCTATCCACCACGTCGGTCACGCCGGAGACGTCTCCGAGAGCGACGTCAAGCGGCGAAGCCACGCATGCCGCGCGCGGGCGCAGAAGGCGTACGCGGAGCTGCTCCCTGCGATCGACGCGCCGCCGCTGACGGTGCTGTACGCGAGCGACGGCGGGCGGGTCAAGAAAGTAGCAAAGCGCGGCGGCGGCGGTGGACGCGGTCACGATCGCGGACCTCGCAAAGGAGGGCGAGTTCGCGCAGAACGGGCGTGCACTTGTAAAGGCGGTCGCCGCGGGCGCAGCGCGCAGCTGCTGGAGGGCGTCAAGTGCAGCGTGTTCGGGCTGGGCGACGCGCGCGGAGGGCGCGCACTCATACATCCGGGACGAGCGTGTTGCGCAGGGCGTCGCGCCCGTGATCCGCGTGCGCACGCCGGACGGCGCACACGGCGTCTTCAAGGGCCACCTCAAGTCCCCCATTCACGACATCGACCGCGCGCTCCTTGCTGCTTGCGGAGCCGTGAACCGGTGCGTTCCTCCCTCTGTACGCTGCACCCGTCCTCTCGGCCGCTCTCGCCGTCAGCTGAAGGTGCGCCCGCTCGCCCGTCGTCTGCTCACGCCGCTGCAGCAGTCGCGCACGCCTTGCATTGATGTATCACGCTCATTTGCGGCGAACCCGTGCAGCTGCACCGTCCACCGCACGCCGCCCGCGCGTATCGACCAGAGCACTCGCCCATGCTTCTTGTCCGTCGCGACAGCATCCTCCGCCATCCTACCGCAGCCTCATCTCAGACCGACAACTCCAGGACCTGCAGCCCGCACGCGCGCCCGCATCTGCGCCCCGTAAGCACCTTGATACACTCTGATCGCTTGCTCACACGCACATCGGCACAGCTAACGAAATATAACGCCGATGCGCAGAGCCTCTACGCAACACTCGCCGCCGCATCAAATTCCATTCCCCCAGCACTCCGTCCATCCCGCCCGCGCCCGCGCCTGCATCCACCAACTGTCAACTCCACACGCTGTAAGTACACCATCAATCAAACCAACGTCGACCGGTGACCGCGCTCACCGCTATGGCTCTTCAGGGCCCTCCAACGTCGGCCCACGTACCTGCAACATATGAAGGTCAGTCCAGACACTAAAGTACAGACAGCAGGCGTAGGTGCCGTATGCAGACACCATCGAGACCCATACCAGTCAACAGCGACAGACTCACGGCCAGGAGATGACGACCCTCCACCCATCTCCGGCCCTCTTTATATCCTTCCCGCTACCCCCCTTCCCGCATTGCGAACCCACGCACGGACGCTCCCTTCCCCGCGTCACGGCGCCCAGCCCCGCCGCGTACCTCACGCAGCCGCTCGCCTATCCTCCCGCAACACCCGCACCCGAGCTACGCGCATCTCCGCCGGGGCGCTCGCCTGGGCTTCGCGCGCGTCGCCGCGACGCCTTCCACCACGGGACCGGACCAGACGTGCCTCCCTGCACGGAGAATACGCCAACGGCAGGACGCGCGCGCACGCCCATGTCCGCGTCCGCGTCCTGTCCTGCATTTCATATGCGCGACGCGGGCGGTTGTCCGCCTGGCAGCCCACCCGCAGGGCCGGCGCCGCGCCCGGGAGATCTTCAACGCGCAGAGCGAGACTCGTGCGTCCGCCAACGGGACGTCGTGCCCGCCCGTCATTAGCGCGTGATTGCCACCGCAAGTGCTAGCAAACG